ATGGCATCGGACACTGATTTTTGGCCTCTAGACGTCACCCCGAATCTGAAAATTTACAAATATTCACATCTCCCAATTCCCGGTAAACTACACACTTAGAAAAATTGATGTAAATTTAGGTGCTTTGAGACTACGAGCGTCAATTTTGACACAAAATTAAATCATAATAGACGTGAAATTCAGCTCAATCAAACGTACGTTCAAATTTTTCAGTCTCGGAGCACTTAATTTTACATGACATAGTTGGTACTTGAGCGGGTCGGTTTTCATCTCTTTTTGCCAGTGGTGGCGGGGGGGGGGACACCCCTCACCATCCCTCTCCAAAGGGGGAGTTTGGTAAAGAGAGATGAAAAAACCGATTTGTACCTTCCTTAAAAGTTGTCCTTAGCTCGCTTTTCTAATATCTAAATACAATCTTCACACTGGCGTACTCTAACGGAACTATCAACTCTATGCTTTCATCTACTCCATCTATCGTATAAAAATTACCGCTACAGTCTGTTATTTGAAATTAGCATCTTCAACTATGACATGTTTGTTTACATCTCATCCTTTATGTCAATGATGGATTCCGTCACGTGTAAGATCAGGTATTTCTAAGAGGGTAGCTTTACAGCATTTTTGAACAGAAACCATGGTAAACATACATTATTGCAAGAAATTTATTTATTTAATTTACATGGAGAAGTTGATGGACCTATCTCAAAAAGTCAGTAGATATTTCCGGAGAAAGCTGGCAGATGTTTGTTTATAAACTTCATTTAAGTGATTTTCAGCTGAAGGTTGGTTCATCACTCGGAAGCAGGCTGAAACTTCTGGCGGATGTTGGAGAAAATTGCGGTCAAAAGAAATTTCTAGGGGAGCTCTGAAAAATCTTCCCGTGGAAATTGGACGACACTTGACAAATGGACTTTTGGGAAAGTAGGAAGAAATTTAGAGGTGAAGTCGGAAAAGTATTGAGGGAGAAGCCGAGGAATATAAGTGAAAAAATTCCGGAATTGTACACTACCGGAGCTGGAAGAAGAGATGGAAAAACTTTTGGAAAAATGTTGTACAGTAATGAACCAATTTCACATATCCATAATTTCGAATAGTTCCCCAAGATGAATGTTTCAGATATACTTTGGTATAATAAGATCAGTAAAAAGGGGCGTGGATTTCGTACGATATTAGGATTTCATAGAATATTAGAAGGGATTTTCAAAATGGGACTGACAAAATCGGGTCTTTACTATAGAAATCTCCTGGGAAAGTTGAATGAATCTTCTACGGGAAGTTGCAACAATCTATCAGGCGACGCCAGAAAGGCTTCCGGGTGAAAAAATTTCCAATTGAAACTTTCCGGAGAAATTTAGAAATTTCCGGAGGTAAATGCAAAAAATTGAAAGAATTTCTGGGAGTAATAAAACACAAGCAAAAGCAGTTACAGAAAAGTCTGCAGATATTTTCAGAAGAACTGAGGAAGACTTTTCCGTGGGATGTCAGAAGGAGCTTCCGAGTGACATTGAAAATAATTTATGCTTCCAGAAGAAGCTAGTAGGACTCCTGAGGGAATTCAGATGATACTGATGGAACGGAAAGTTTGATGACACTTTCAATTAAATCGTAAATGAAAAATCGGATCATTACTGTAAAAATTTCCTGGGAATTTTGGAAGAATCTTCCACGGGCAGTTGCAACAATCTTTCAGGCGATGTTAGAAAAGCTTCCGGGCCAAGAAACTTCCAATTGAAACTCGACGGCGCTCCCGGGGCAAGCTAGGAGAAATTTTCGGAGGAAAATGGAAAAGACTTCAGGAGAAAAAATAAACGGAATTTCTAGGAGCCAGAAAACACAAGCAAAGGCACACACTTAGAAATAACTAATTTTACACGAGACGTAATCCATAGTGGACGTAAATCATGGAACGTAAACAAACATTTCATGTAAAATTAAATGTTCTCAAACTGAAACATAAGCAAATCGACGAAGAGAACGTTTCATTGGATTGATGTTCTTGTTTCTTTCAACTGATTCTTATGTCAAAAGGGCCGCTTACATGTGTCGGTCTCAGGGAACCTAAATTTACATGACATTTTCGTAGTGTGCAGTTACAGAGAAGTCTGCCGAAATTTTTAGAAGAATTGAGAAGACTTTTCCTTGGGATGTCAGAAGGAACTTCCGAGTGACATTGGAAAGTAGGACTCCTGAGGGAATTCAGATGATACTGATGAAATGGAAAGTTTAGTTTGATGAAACTTTTAATCGTTCCGGTCGGAAAAGGAAAAATCGGGTCATTACTATCGAAATTTCCTGGGAAATTTGGAACAATCTTCTACGGGCAGTTGCAACAATCTTTCAAGAGAAGTCAGAAAGCTTCCGGGTGAAGAAGCTTTCGAGCTAAAACGGAAAACGCTCCCAATATAAGCTAGGAGAAATTTGGGAGAAAAATGACTTCCAGAAAAATATAGGAAGGAATTTCTGGGAGCCATAAACACAAGTCAAAGCAGTTATAGGGATTTCTAGGAAAGCCGGCATAAATTTTCAGAAGAATTTAGAAGAGACTTCCGTGGTAATTTAGAAGGCACTTCCGGGTGACATTGTACATAATTTCAACTTCCAGAGGAAGCCAGTCGGACTCCTGAGGGAATTCAGATTATCTGATGGATCTTTCAATGAAGGATGAATTAAAATTCCGGAAATCGTTTCAAGAAACTTTCTATGATATATGGAAGATTTTTCCGAGGGAATATGGAAAAAACTTTCGAGAGATGTTGAAAGTTCCAAAAATTGAAGGAATTTCATGGAGTCAAAAAACACAAGGAAATGCATTCACAAAGACTTCTTGGGAAGCCGCAGAAACATGCAGATGAAATTAGAAGAGTCTTTCATTTGCAGTCAGTAGGAACTTCCGGGTGATATTGGAAATAATGTCTACTTCCAGAAGAAGCCAGTAAAACTTCTGAGGGAATTCAGAAGATACTGATTAAACGGAAAGTTTTATGAAACTTCCAATGAAGATTAATTCAATTTCCGGAGAAAGTTTAAACAAACTTTGTAGGACAGATGGAAGATTCTTCCTGGCCAAACTTCCGACAAATGTTGGTAGAAAGTTCGTTACAAATTCGGACGAAACTTCTGAGAGAAATCAACCGTTCAGAAGATATTGGAAAAATCTTCCGGCGGAAATCAGCCTAATCCAAAAAAAAACAAAGAGGGGAATTCGGACAACTTTTCCGGATTATTACAAAATATTCAAATTTATAATGTTTTACGTTTCATTAGACGACCGGCCCAATTTATAATCCAAATAAATATCTATCGAAAATTAAATCTGACTGGGTAAAAATATTTGCCAAGTACCAAGAATACCCGTGAAGTGCCACCAGCTGTTTCCTGATTCTCAAGGAAGCCATAAATGGTCGGGAAATGGAAGCACTGGATCTGAAGAGGTCTGGACACATTTCATTCATAATTTTCTTCACTGATTTTAGAATGCTCTGAGATTGCCTTAAACTTGACTAAAATGACTTTTATACAATCTTAGATTTGCCCTAGATCATTACCATTACTATTCATCTAAACAGTCAAGTTTTGGAGTTTTATGTCCGAAAATCCAATTTCTGATAGACGAGAATTGACCGAAGTTTACAACGTAGTCAGCTCAACTTGAATGGTTGGTTGCTTCTTAGGGACAAACGTCTTCATCTGGGCTACTTAGATGAATTCATTTTTGCTATTGTCGGATTGAAAACATTGTCCAGTTTTCCAGGCTACACCACCCATGATTCATCTCAAGACCAACAATTTAAATTGGCCTTAACTCCATTTTGTAAACAAAGCTTGTAAGGCCATTTTCTCGCGAACTGAAACCTTTATTCGCAAACCTAAACCACAATCAGCTAGAGGAGAATTTCCCCTACCTGTTCATTATGTTGGTTTGCCTTTGCGGACTTCGGTTCGCGAGAAAATGGCCTTACAAGGTTTGTTTACAAAATTGAGTTTAGGCCATTTCAATTGTTGGTCTTGATTAGAAACACTGGAGTAAGAGACCAGCGGAGACACTGTTATGATTCCAATCGAACTGTCAAAAGCGGTTCCAATCTGCAGTGTTTACAAATGATTTGCTTCAATTAGGGAGGAGTATTAAAATCGTTTAACAATCACTCATGAACTCGATCGTCGGTGCATTGGCGAAGTCACTCGCAAGCTGTTACAAATGCAAGTGATGCCAGGATTGCTTTGATGTGTATCTTGTTGCCAAATTCATGTTTTTTTCTCCGCTGGTCTCTTATTCCAGTGTTTCTAGTCTTGATCTGGTAGTCTTCATTTGAATCGAGGCAACGTGAGGTAGGAAGTTGTGAACACCGACCCTAGGTATCAAGCATATCCAGGTTGTCGACTCACTATTTTGTAGTCTATATTACCTCTCAACATAGTCTTGAAAACACCAAAATTACATTCAAATTTAGGCATTTAGCCTTAAAATACCAAAATGGATTTATTTTAAAACCATATTGACAATGAAATCGTCAAAATAGCCCATAAACTGCCAAAAATTGTTCCAATAAGATAAATCGGAGCAACCATCATGGTTCATAATACCGAAAACTTGGTTTTGGAAGGAACACCAGATTTACTCAATGATGATTGTACAGCTACCGACAATCTAATTCTGAATATAGTCTGATCATCACCATTCTGTCAGACACTCCAAACACAACCATCACCAGTGACAGACGGATGGCAAAGCGAATCCCTCTTTCCAGTGGAAAACTCCCAAACATTATATTGAATTACTTTCCCAAAATGCAACTAACAGACTTTACCAACTTTCCTCGATACTAGCCGTTCGTCTTCGCCAGTCGATCCGAACTCTTCACACAGCCAGAGACACACCGTCTGTCGCTATCATATCCCCCACTAAACTAGCAAGAACCGTCTCGAACCCAAACATTTGTCCCCAAAGTGCAATAATTTCATTTTACTCACGTCCTTCTTTTCTCGCTTTCCCTTTGCAGATTCCATCGAGAACAAGGTTATCGAAACCGAGGGCAAACGGTACACGGTGACGTCCCAGCTCCGGATCAAGCCCACCTCCGACGACGACTACATGGAGTATACCTGCCAGGCCAAGCACAAGGCCCTCCAGCCGGACAAACCGATGCAGACGACGGTGCAGCTATCCGTGCTTTGTAAGTACCCCCGCAGTCTGCATTTCCGAGCAATGGGAGTCGTGTATGACGCTAGAGTTGTGCCTGGCTCTGTGTTATTACAAACGTTACTATTCCCCTTCTCGGTTGTAATTTTTGCCCCGAGCTAGCAGCACCAGTTAGTATTCTCTCGCATTTGGCACCGGTGGGATGTGGTGTGGGTGGTGGCTGAGGATTGTGTAATCCTTGTGCGATAATTAGGTGTTATTGGCCTTCTCCTTGGTTTCCATCCACCAGCACCTGCTGGACACAACACAATGAATGCTGAATCACCCAGCTTCTGCCCCAGTACGGTGGGCGCTTTCAGTAGTAATTAAAATTAAAGGTTGTAGCTGGTCTTAGGGTGGGAAAGTGTGTGTGTGTGTGTGGGGGGGGGGGGGCAATGTGAAAATAACAATTTCTTCTTGTTTGAGTCCTGTCCGGGACTGCTCCAATCGACCCAGAGGATTCTTTCTGTGGAATGTGGAAAAATTGCTTCATTCTGAACTGGCAAAGGCTGATGGGGGTTGTAATTACAACTCCAGAATTGCCTGGTTGTTATTGAAGTGTACTACATTTCCAGCTGACTTGGGTGCAATCAAGTGGAATTTTCTTATAAACACTGCCATCACGGGAGGGGGGAAGGGGGTCTCTCATTATGGAACCAATTGCCCTTTGTTCGGTTCGAGCATTTATATCGATCGACATTCAAGGCGTAACAAGGCAACTGGTTTTCAGAAAATCAGGGATCCGTTTGTCCAGCAATTGGTGTGAGCACCAAGAACCGCATGCAAATCACGTTCAATCTCAATAACCTGTTTAGTGCTCTTGAACAAGGCTTTTTCATGCAACATTTACCAAGATGCATTCCCCAGTGACCCGCTTCTCCTTTTGCATCCATCAAATGTCACCGATTTTCTTCGCTAGGTAGCAGATTTCCCAGGCACGTTCAACGTCCGCTGCCAGCAGCTACTTCCATCACAAACAGCCATTAAATCGCGCTTGTCTATTGCTAATAGCTGCTTCGGAGCTAGGTCGGTCGCGATTTTCCATTTTCCATCTTCCAGTCACGTATTAACGGCACCAACCACATCCACCAATAAGTGCCATCATCACCACCACCGACAGTACAAAGTAGTCAATCGTTCCGTTTTTCCCATTTGCTACCGTTGAGCTCAACGAAGAAAGCAAGTCGACGACGTGGTTCTGCACAACACCCACCGACGGACGAGTTGTTTCCGTTAAAAATAAGAACGCTAAAAGAAGATGCAATTGCCCTCTGAACCGCTTCGCTTTCAACCCCCCCAGATGCACCTCCCGTGGAGTGATGATTTGAAGAACCCAGTGCAAATATGGCAGTCAATGATAGCGCCCTCATTTGCTGCGGGAGGAATCGCCGTCGTCGCAATAGTATATAGTAACAAACTGGTTGTAATCGAGTTATTTGATTTACTCTACTGCTGCTGGTCTGGTGTACGGCGTTTTTCCACCATCATAGTACGGTTGGCACTTCTGTTTGGTTTGTGTTGATTGTATTCTACGCTCCATTTAGCGCTTTCAATCGCGTTTCTTTTTCTCTGAGGAATTGTCGCTTTTCCACTCAGGGTGTGAGCAAAGTGCAGCATTGATATAACCATGCTGTCCTTTGTACGATGGAATTGACTTTTAATCAATTTACCTCTGTAAATGTACAAGTACTTTAAGCCAACTGAGGTCCTTCACAGGCCTGTCACGGTGGTTCCTCATGGTTACTCCATGAGTAACCAGCTTCGAATCTCTATTTGTTTTTTTTTTCGTAGACCACGTCTTACGAGAAGGTACAGGGGTCTCCCTGGAAAACCTAAAACTGCGACCGTCACGAAAAGGTGTTACGGTTTGAACGCTTATTACTTTACCATTTTTAGATGAAAATAAAATCCAAATACATCAATCGATAGGAAATAACTCTACGAATCTGCTGAAATAAGTACTTTCCAAATGTTCCTTTAAAAACTTTTGAGCAATGTATAAATTAAAAGTTATTACTATTTTTATGAAATAAACCTTTTCCCTAACCCAGTCGTCAAAGTCAAGTATCACTTAGTTGCGCATCGATCTGCTTGAACCTGTAAATTTATAAAAAGAGCGCTGCTTTCATGTTATTCCTACGCTCATTTTCGCACCGGATGAGTTGATCGCCTTCATAACCAGCGGTGGGGAGGAAGGAGACTGACGGGCGCAATAATGAATGGAATTTGGATCCAACATAGAATATCTCGTGATTTAAGCCATGTAGAAAGTTGCTCTCTTGAGCAAAGTTGTTCAACTAACCAAGTCCTTTGGGATGATGATATTAGTTCAGAATTTTCTCACTACGCGGTGCTACTGTGCACATGAACTTCCTGTATAAGATGTATCTCGAGGTTCTAACTATGTACAAGTTTACTGTCTTCAGTAAAGTTTATCAGATGAAGTCCTTTCGGATGGTGGTCATCTTAGTTCAGAACTTTTCCACATGAACTTTCTTTTTAAACTGTATCTCGAGACCCTGGTCATATAGAAGGTTAATGTCTTCAGCAAAGTTGTTCAGATGACCACGGTTTTTGTTTTGTCAACGTGTTCCCTAAAAAGCAGCTTGCAGTCGAGTGTAAGGCCGAGGTACACTACCTCTTTTGACCATTCCATCATTGTGCCGTTCAAGTTGATGTTATTATTCTCAGACAAAACAAGTATGGGTGATTTGGAATGAGGAAAGATGATGACCTGGGTCTTTGCCACGTTGATATGAATCTTCCAGCTGTTGAAATATTCTTACAGGGCATCTAGGCCTCTCTGAAGTTTAGCGGTCAGAGCTCCGATGACCCTACCCTTGTAGACGATGGATGTGTCATCTGCGAACAGAGACAACGATCCACCATCAGGGAAAGCCGGCATATGGGAGGTGAACAGGTTGAATTAAATGGGGCCAAGGATGCTTCCCTGTGGGACATCCGCACCGATGTGGAAAGCATCTGATGTGATGCTATTGCGAGAGACTCTGAATGTTCTGTCCGAGAGGTAATTTTTAATTACTGGGAAGATTGGAAGACCGTATCGCTGCAATTTGTAGATCATGGCAAACATTGTCGAATGCTTTTTCAACATCCAACAATGCCATGGCAGATGTTTTAGATACAGACTTGTTCCGTGGTGAACAGTCGAGCGACCTTTACGGAAGCCAAACTGCTCCTAGAGCAATAAGTTGTTTTCCTCGGCCGATGCCAGGAGTCGGCGGTAGACTGCTCTTTCGAATAGCTTGGATAACCCCGAGAGAAGGCTGATGGGTCGGTAGCTTGAAGGAGAAGATGACTTTAGCTGACTTCCAGCACGAGGGGAAGTGGCCAAGTCTGAGGCACTGATTAAAAATCAGTGCCAGATGGTTGCAGAATCTGGAACTCAGGTGTTTGAGTTTCAGATTCAGGATTTGATTGAAACCTTGTGACTTCATATTTTAAGATGATTTGGTATAGGCCAGCAGTTCATCAGCCGTAATCTCGGAAAGTTTTTCAGCCCGAGATTATGAGACCTGACGAAGTGTTGACTTATAGCATCAGTCTTCTCTTCAGGGTTTATCAGATGAGGGACTGAATCATTGGGTTGATTCAACGGCACAAGTGGTGGAATTGGTCTTGGTTTGGTTAGCTTCCAGAAGGGCTTAGCACAATAGGAACAATCATCTTGTTCCTATTTACTTTAGTCCTCATTTCTGAGGTCCAATATCCTGGCTTGGATAATTTTTGTTAGACGGTTGCGGTGCGTTGGTACTGCCTACGCATGGTGTTAAGGAGTCTGATAAAGTTTTTAGTGGAACTATCAAGGTTCAGAGTATTGCTCACCTGTCTGCATACTGGTACGTGCTGTTCCCTGGTTCGGGATATTGCCTCTTCCAAGGAACGCAGGCATCGGTCAACGTCTTCGGGGGCGTCCGGATGTACTTCGTAGTCGACGGCGGTATTGACACAGTGTTGGAACCAATCCCATTCAACACGATGGTAGTTTTGCCGGGATGCTTGAAATCTGTTAGCCGAAAAGCCTACTTCGGCCACCACCGAGTAGTGGTCCGAGCTCAGCTCCTGAACCGCCACAGGTTGCGAGACGTTGCGTCCCATGTTGCTGACGAAGATGTCGATGGTCGCATGGACCCCAGACCGACTCAACCGGGTGGGAGTGTCCGGGGTCAAGATGGTATAGTGGCCCTCTTGCAGGTCTTCATTCAGAATGGTACCGTTTCCATTGCTCCGACAGTTGCACCAAGCTTGGTGTTTTGCGTGCAGGTCGCCAGCGATGATGAAGTTCCCGCACCTCCGGGTGAGTTTGTTGATGTCTTTCCGGAGGGCCACTGACGATCCGTCCCTGATGTTGGTTTGCTTGGGGCCAGAGTTGCGACCTTTCACAATCACCATCATCAAACAGCTGATGGTAGTAACGCTTTGTACATTCCTATCAATGAGCTCGTCGAAGCTCTCTCCATGACCATCCATCAAGTTGACGAAAGAAGTAAAAAGCAACTGGTGAATGTCGTCTTCTGTTGTGATCCATCACCGATCTGGTCATTCCTGACAATCACGACACTCATCTGTGCTCGTTTTGAAGCAGTTACTGCTTTGCTTGCTTAAGTGAGTGTGTTGGTGAGTGAGCCCAACAGCTTTCGTTTAATGTTGCCTGCTTTGTTTGTAACTCACACACTCGCGCCAGCCGAGACGAACTTGGAATGCGTAGGCATTGTTTTCATTTTCTTCTGTCGTTTCGCTTTTTCTCATGATCGTACTGCAGAAGTCTTCACTGTTTTCGTTGTGCTTTCCATTATCAGCAGCGAGTGTAACGTTTTGCTTGTGAGCAGCGACCATTACTGGTGATTGCTGTTTGCCATGGCTCTAACTCTCCCTGCGTGACAAAACGATCTGTCAGCAATAGTCGGTTGATGCGAAGACGAGTGTCACGTGAGTGTCGTGATATTTTGCAGCACTGCTTGGGGCAGTAGGCCA